TCTGTGGACTCTTTTAAAAAGCAGTTAAAACTTTTTCAACTTCTTATTGGTTTTTATACAATCTTCACTTCATGTTGTCTTGACTTAATATATACATATTTGTTTGTTTGCTGTTTCAGCACTTCATTTTCTTATTTCTTTTACTTTATTTAGTTGTACATCACTTTGTGGCCGCTAAACCCACACGACACACACTGGACAGGTTATGGTTATCGGCTGACAGGGGAACATCTCTGGGGAGAGGAGTGGTCTGGAAATCTGTGCTGCTGATGTTGTGCCAAAAAATGATCATCTGTCAGAGTCGATGCCTGTATTTAAACTGCTGCAAATTACTTGTTGGCTTATAATCTGAGACAAATTTGTCAAACATATACATATTTCTCATGATGATTAAAGCTGCAATAGGTCTTTTGCAAAGTGACTTTTATATATTTTTTCTTTATCCAGCTAAAACGTCTCATTGACATTAAAAATTCCATTTTTAAGTTGCAATTTTATAGATAGATAGATAGATAGATAGATAGATAGATAGATATCCCTTCATGAATCTCGTTGACTGCAGTCAGTTTACTAATAGCAGCAAAGCACTGCACATAAAATCACACAGAAACAACTCTGTTGTGTGCCCACTCTAAAACAGTCCGGGTTGCACTAAACCTTCTCTTTAAATTCAATATTTTTCGGCCCGTCATTACAAAGTTATTATAATTATATAATAAGCGAGTCTATTCTTTGGACATACTGTATAAGAAGACCAACTTTTATTATGAGTCGGGGGTTTTCCAGCCACTCTTACCCCATCCTAGAAACACTGAATCTCATTAATGCGACTTCTCTTACCAGGTTGGTTTAAAGCATCATCATCCTGCTGCTGCAGCTGCTGCCCTCCAGTCTGCAGACTGTCTGCGTTTCGCTGCTGAACACAATCCACTTCCTTCATGATGCCCGTGTTTGTTCTCTAAAATCAACTGTAGGCTCCTTAAAGATGAACCGGGCCTGCGCAGAATCGATCACCGATCAGCGTGAAGGTCATGCTGATCGAACCTCCGTCAGCCTTCACCCATCCATGTATTACAGGAACCCGGAGAGACCCGAACAGGACAGCAGCTGTCATCGGTGATTTTACGAAAGATTTGTTTACGTCTGCTCTGTTCTGAGCAGGCATCTACACGGACGCCCTTCTTCTTCTGCTTCTTTGGGAGTTTAAAGGCACCGGACATCAGTTTATATCGCTTTACTGCCTCTTACTGTCCTTCTCTAAATCTAAGTGTCCAAAATTACATTTCTAAAATAATTACCCTCTAATTCTGAAAACAATATGTTAAAATACTGTCACATATCTAAGACAGTCACCATTACAGCCAGTCAAAAACCATCCTTTTCTCTTTTATACGTGGGCATTTCATTTTTATTGTCACAAAATATTATTGCAAACAACTTATTCCTCCAAGTTGTCCAACAAATCCTGCTGCTCTTGTAAATAAGATAATTCTCTGGAATTACCTGCATGAAAGAAAAAATGAATTAAAAATGAATTAATTTAAATTAATTAAAAACTTAAACTCCGAGTCATTTACTGTTGTAACAAGTCTGTCTGTAACATTAACCTGTTTGCTGGCAGGTTTTTTCTTCTCTTTGATACTCATTCAATTCCTCATTCATAAAATCGTCATCAAAGCAGCAGAGCAGAATGAATTTATCTGCAACTTTTCGTTTAATACTTTTGTGTGCGCTGCATGAGGTTCCAAGTGGAATAAGTATGGTCAATTAAAAAGGTCATAAATGTCCAATTTCAATAAAAGTATGTCTGTTTATATTTTACTATACCTTTATTGGGCTCCTTGAGGATGAATCACAGCATCAGTGTAGTGTGGCATGGAAGCAATCAGCTTGTAGCTGTCACAGTGTGCAAACTGTGTGTAATGTTTAGGTTTTCAAAGAACCCAGAATGGAAGACACAAGAGGCAGAATGTTTAAAAAGTAAGACATTTATTTTCAGCGCATGCAAAACTGAGTCCCAAGGGACAGGAAAAAATTAATCCAACACACAGTGAAAGACA